TATTGAATAAAAAAGTTAGTAATTATTATAAGTAGATTAATAATAATTTTATTTTAAACAATATTAAGATATAAAGTTTCTATAAATATAATATAATCTCTTTTTAATTTGAATGAGTTAATAGTATTAAATAGTTTGTTTAAGTTTTATTTAATACTAGTAAAAAGTAAAGTATTTATTGTATTACAATATAGTTTTTAAATTAAGTTATATAGTTAAGCTAAGGATTTTGTTGTTGTCTTAACTTAATTGATAAAATTTGTTGTAAAAAATTTTTTATCAATTATGTTATATAACAATTCTATTATTTGTTATATATAAAAAATTGATTCAAGATTGTTATTTAAGTAAAAGATTTAATTAATATTATTTATAATTTGACTAATTTTTTTAAGACCTTAGAATATTTAAAGACATATTATATATCTTCAATTTAGAGCTTAAACAATATACAGTATATTTAAATATTGATTTAAATAGTATCAATAAAACATTTGGTAAATTGGAAGAATTCCTGAAAGTAATTTGATTCTGAATATTATTAAATTACTATAATTGTTATTAAAGTTACATTTAAAAATTTTAGTTATTAATAATAAGTTAAATTAAGAAAATTTATATTATATATATATATTTATACTTGTAATAATTTTTTATAATTAAAAAAATAAATAAATAACTTTTTTCACTAATTTTTTTGGAATTTTTTTTTTATTTATCAATAATAAAGTTTAAATATTTTTTTAATAATACATATTTCTGAAGCAAAAGCTTTTTTTACTCATTTATCTTTTTTTTAAAAAACTTTTTGAATGTTTTAGTAACAAAATATTTAAAACTTTCTTATTTAATTTATAGCAAAAACATTTTATTGAAAAGAAAAAACTTGTCAAAAAAAGTGATTTTTTTATTTTTCTTCAAAATTTGAAATTTTAGAAAAGTCTATTAGTAAATACATTTTTCAAGCTTCATAAGAATCTTGAATCCACTATAAATAAATATCTTTTTTTAGAAATGGATAAATAGATTAATGTTCTAATCTATAGATATAGATATATGATTATTTTTACTAATTAAATATTTACAGCAACCTTTTCAAGTATATTAACAAATTTTTAAAAAATTTTAAGAAATTTTGCCTACCTCAGTTTGATCTTGAAATTTTTATTACATCAAAATCCCTAATTGATAATTGGTTAAGATTTTGATTGACTAATTAACATGTAATAAAAAAGTAAACAAAAAATATACTCTTCATATATCTTCTATTATACAATACAACAATAATAATATAATTAAAAAAAGCAGAAAAGTGAAATATTATAATAATTTTTTGAATATAAATGGTTTTGTGATTCTTTTCTCTTTTCTTGTTTTAATTTTTTTTTTTCAAGATTAAGAAGTCTTATTTCAATTCAGTAAGCTTTTTTTTATATTAATTATTTTGAAAAAACATCAAACCAAAGTAAACCTTGTTTTAAGCAATAATTCTTAATAGGTGTAAGACTTGTTTAAGCATTTGTAAGTTTTGTTATAAGTATCTTAAATATTTTTAATCAGCAATGAAATAATAAAAATTAAATGATTCATTTGACTGCAAGTAGTAATAAAGGATTTATTCTGATGAATTAATTAATATTGAAGGGTTTTTATTTATCAAGACAAACTCTTTAAATATATTTTTTTTTTTTTCTTTAAAAATAAAAATTTTTTTTTACTTCTTAAAATTACAAAATTATAATAGGTAATAGTTTAAATGTAGACTAATTTTAATTTTTCAAGATTAAAAATATGACTTTTAGTCTTGAAAAGAATTAACTTTTTTATTTTCTACAATTATATTTAGAGATTTAAAATAGATTTAAAAAGTCTAAAATAGTTAATATCATGTAGTAATAACTTAAGAGACCTGTTCTCTTGTAGTAAGATAGTTAGTAAATAGTTAAATTACATGGACAATATGATAGTCTTGGTATTAAGGATTCAAGAATTATATACAAATCTAAAATAATTTATTGACAGGTGTTTTGCAAAATAGAACTAGTTTAGCTTTAGTATAATATTATATTATATATTGTATATTGTTTTCTAAAAATTAGATTAATAAATATTAAGACTTGCAATTTGATTAAAGAAAAAAAACTATTATTATAATACACTAATAACAAACAATTAAATTTTAATAAATTTTTTGTATTAAATGCTTGTCAAAAAATATTTTAAATAATTTATATTATTAAAATCATATATTTTATTATTGAATAAAATTTACTGTAAATATAAAATAAAATTTTATAAAAAATATTTATCAATAGCAAATTGCTTGTTGAAATAGTAGTTATAAAATTGAATGGTTTCAAAATTATAACTAAAAATAAAATCAATTTTATTCAAAAAAAAATCATTATCAATTAAATATAATAATATAGATTTGTTTAAATTAATAAAAATTTTATTGTAGAAGAATTTATTATGAAAACCAAATTTATCTAATACATAAATTTTCTATTTGGGTAATTATTTTCGAAGGTGGACCGGAAATTTTCTAGTGTGATCCTAAAATTTATATTATATATGTATTGTTTAAAAGCTGGGTCCGAAAAATCATATCTAGCATTTTTGTTGCTTTCAAAAATAATTATCCATTTAATAAATAAAAATTTTATATGTAGTACTTATCATTGATTAATTTTAAATGGCTCTTTCTTATTGATGGCATTGTATTTTTTAAATTAAAATATAGATCCGTATTATATACTATAGATTAGTGCGCTAAATCTGAAAAGGGGTATAAAGTGGAAAACCAATATTAATTACAATAAAATTACGCAATGGATCTTTAGTTTACGACTTTCTAGAATTACTTTGTTTTTCTTTAGTTAACATATAAAAAGTTAGAACCGTTAAATAATAAAAATCCATGCTTCCTACTTTATTTATGTTAGCCTCAAGTAACACGGATTTACAATCCACTATTACCCGCTAATTTTTTATTTGTTATGCTTTATATTTTAACCCTTACCATATTTGGTTATTTTTTTATTTGGTAAATATAATTTAATTTATCATATTTGATTATTCGTGTGGGATTTATACATGTGGGCGTTTTATGAGAATTAATCTTTCAGACATTCACCTTCTCTCTTTTGTTCAAGGGAAGAACCAGCATTTATATACACGCGCTAATAATGAGACACCATTAAATATAAGTAGTCGGACCTCGAGTTACACCTACCTAAAATTATTCGATATATACAAGATTGTCTAATCTCAAGAGCTTACAGTACTTCCACCAAGTATGACAATATCATTTGATACTAGTTATAAGAAGAACGTAGATGTTTCACTCGTTAATGTATACAAGACTATCTAATCTGTTGTCAGCCCACATCGGTTCACCGAACATAAAGAATAATTTCCTATATTGCATACTGTATATGGATTGCGTTACAAGCACAAATAGGTATATAACGTGACGTACATAGTAGTGTATATAGATTTTGCGCGCTTTATCATAACGACTACTTCATATCATGAACATCGAGAGAATAAAGAATATTTCCTTTATTCTTCTTTGCCATGGCGTAATTATATTAATATCCTTTGCTATATATTTTATATCTCGAAATGGGCACGTCACGGTTGATGTGGGAACAGCTTCTCTTCTAATATCAGTAGTTGATAAAGTAACAATATCGATATTAACCGTTGCGTTTATTCATCTAACGACAAGAAAATGGAAAAACATAAGAGACAGAGGATCTTTAATAAGAATAGTAGAATCTATTGATTCTATAAAATCCGGAGTTGTATCATGCGTTACAAATATAAGTTCTATTGAAGTTTCGGTGTATTTATTGTTGGCTTTATCATCAACGGCGACTTCGTGGGGATTGTCCAAAGGAATAGGTACAAGCAAAATTAGCGGTACATGCGTTTATAATGAAGGAAAAACACATGCTTTGATAAATTGTACAAGCTTTCGCACTTGTGGATTATATTCGTACGCTAACGGTGGTCTTGGTCCGATAGGAATTGTAAGAACAACTACATTAGTGAAAAACGGAATCGATAACAATATTACAGTTTTGGGAAATCCAAGTTATGCTGTTGCGGCACATGTTGGAAAAGATCTGTTATTTTCTACAGATGAAGTAAGTATTTACAATCTTAGCGCGATTGTAGTAAATGCTTCTTGTAAGACGACTGAAAAATTTGCTGGAGAATCATTGGCAACTGATCCATTAATAAATATGACAAGCTTAGATGACAACTTCAATTACTATTTCAGCCTTCCTACTATATCGGATCTCCAAGGATTATATGTCTTGGATAGAAATCTCCTTGTTTTTGCTATTGTTTTAGCTGATCGAACGACAAATAATATTAGTGAAATTCAAGTAGGATGGCTGAATCACACACAGGTAACTCTAAGAAGTAATATAGTAACTCTTGCACAATGCAATTACACAGCAAGAATCGGATTGGTGGATATTACCCAAAAAAATAATTCATTACAAAGTTCGATAAAAAATTTGAAACCCATCGACACTGAAAATGTTATGGTATTAAATGTTCAAATGAGCGGATTTAATTTTGATGCTTTGACCATATCAAATGGAAATTCCAATCCAGAGATTGATCCTTACAAATATGATGGAAGATACATTTCTGGATTAGAAACAGACTTTGCTAAATACGTAGCCGCATCGTCAACAGTTCTCGTAGATAAACTATTAGCACAGGGTTATGATTTTATGTATACCAATGACACATTTTCGGTAAAATCTTGTGATAGTATTGAAGCGACGATTATACAATACTGGCCTTTATTGTATGTTTGGTTATCTATTAATATTATTTCATTGTTAATATTGATATTCTTTACGGCAAAGAGGATAGCAGAGATAAGCATTACCTGTTCTGGAGTAGAATTGAACACTTTGATATGGCAATCGTTGACAACAAAGTGGGGGTTGGCAAGATTATTGTCGAAAGGTCACTGGAATACGGATCAAAAAGATGCGTTTTTATCAAAAATGGACGTGATACCAGAAAGATTGGAAGCTTCGAGGAACAATTTTGGATTGACTTCTTTGGACCGGGAAAATGAGATTTATTAATCTTACGGTGGACTAGTATAAATGTTTTCTGATGCTGTGTTTTATTTCTATTCATGCTCTCGGGTTTTCTATATTCTATTATATTTAATTTTATTTTATTTACTATATGAGTTGGTACCATGCTCTGAGACAAAATCCTTATTTGGAGATATCAATCTAAATTTATATATCGAATCATATAAAATTAAAAAACTGCGCGCGAAATTGTACCAAATTACAATATATTAATATATATCCAAACGTTTATCACGGTTAAAGGACATTCTTGGGAATATAATCCACTAAAAATCTTTCAAAGCATGGTTTTGCTGTGTACCAACCCATATGTTAACGGTTTTATATTTTATATTTATGTTAACTTTATATTGATAGTAATTTTTATATATTTATGCTTTTTATAAAGAGAATAGTTTAATATTATTGTATTAATATTATTGTTGTTGTATAAAATATCTCAATATTATATTTACATTTCTATTATTTTCACAATACTACATAAGTAAAAAAAAATTGTAATAGTTTATAGATAATTAATATTTATTTATAAACAATTAAATTAATGTAGTTGTTAAAAAAGTTTTAAAAATTTGAATTTTTGTTGTATTGTTTGAATTTGTTAAACTATAATAACAATTTTTAAAAATATTATATTATTAATTGGATTTTAATATTGTTGTTTGAATCTATAAAATCATACAACTGTTTAAAAACTAAATAAAATATATAAAACTTTCAAAATTTTCATATAAATATAATATTAAAATTGTAAAAAAAACTTTTTTTGCTGATCCTTTTGCCAATACAAAAAAACAGACATTCCAAGGAAATTTTATATTTCCTTGTAATAAAATCTATATACTTTTATTAACAACACTTATACCAAGAGACAATAGTCTCCCCACTTGTTTCTTTCTCTCTTTGACATAAACTTCCTGTATTTCTGCAAGTAAATACAAGAAATATCTACTTACAAAGTTAAAGGCAAGAAAACTTTGCTAGGAAAAAGAACCTGTAGAAAAAATACTCTCTTCTCTTCTTCTAGAGATTCAAGACTCTAGAAAAGACTGGCACAGTTTTTGAAACTCTTTTCTCATCTTTCTTAAGCTTTCTCCTATCCTTTCAAGTGTGTAAACTTTTTTCTAGTTTTTCTGAAGAATTTTGTCTACTTCAGTTTGACCCTAAATTTTTGGTTACACCAGAATCCTTAAATGGTGATTGGCTCGAATTTTGGACTGGTTGATCTATACGTAGCAAAAAATATAAACAAAACACATAACTTCCACGTACCCTATCTCGTACAACATAAAACCCGATGATGCAATTGGATATAGTGAAAAGAGCAAGGCGACGAGGTACTCTTTTTGTTAAGAAGTGTTATAATGTTTCCACCTTTTCTCTTGGACTGGTTTCTTTTCTCTTCAAGATCAAAAAAAGTCTTATCCCAATTCAGTAAAAAACTTCCTCTTTTGTTGATTATCCCGAGAAGGCAGCAAGTATTAATGTAAGTTTTGTCTTAAGCAATAATTCCCAATGGGTGTAAGACTTGTTTCAAGCAACATATAAATCTTGTATTAAGTACCTTGAACATTCTTGGTTAGCAAGAGAATAGTGGAAATTAAATGGTTTGCCCAGCTGCAAGTAATAGTAAATGATTTATCCTGATAGACCGAAGTTGATATTGGAGGGTTTTTATTTATCAGAACAAACTTTTCAACTACTTTTATTATTTCCCTCTTTTTTTCTTAAAAAATAAAAATTTTTTACCTCTTAAAATCATAGGTTCGTTTGGAGGTGACAGTCTGAATATAGGCTGGCAGTGATCTTTCAAAATATAGACTATGATATCTTGTCTTGAAAAGGAGCAATATTATCATTCCCTATGATCACATCTAGAGAGTTTAGATTTAAAAAATCTAAGATAGTTAGTATCACGCAGTAATAGCTTAATAAACCTACTCCCTTATAATGAGATAGTTAGTAAATAGCTAAATCATATAGGCAACATAGTGATCTTGATATTAAGGATTCAAGGATTATATATAAATCTAAATTAATTGACAGGTGTTCTGCAAAATTGTGCTAATTTAGCTTTAGTATAATATTATGTATATTGTATTACTATTGTCCAAAAATTGAATTAATAAACATTTTCATTTGTAGTCTGATTAGAGGCAAAAAAAAAAAATATTATTATTATTAAAATTGTAAAAAAACTTTTTTCAATAAATATTAAAATTTCCAAAAATTTTCTTTTTAGAAAATTTCAAGAAAAGAGATCAAAAATACATTCAATTTTTGAAAAGTTAGCAAATATCCCTCCAAAAAAATAATTTATACTTCTTAATAACAAGATAAATAACTTTTGCCTTAAAAATTAATTATATTTATTTATTTATTTATTTCTTTTAAAAAAAATAAACAAAAATTTATAAAAAGAAAAAAAAGAAGCAAAATAAATAATTTATAATAAGATCAAGAAAAATAAATTCAGTATCAATCTTATAAAGCTATTAATTAGTCATGTATTAGATTAAGCATCTTCTTAGATATTAATATAACTTTATATTAGTTAAATTATATTTGATAAATCAGATAATCTTGAATATTAATATAAAGTCAAAAAACATCAAAGTTTTTTTTTCAAATATTAGTTAGGAAAAAAAACAAAACATATATAATAAAATTTATATGTTGTTAATCAATCTTTATAAATTATAAATTTGATGTTAAAATCTTAAAACTTTTGTATAAGATATCTTTGAATAAATAATAGCTACTGTACAATTTTTAAAAAATTTTAATTATTACAATAAAAATTAACATATGTGTTAAAATTGAAAAAGAGTTTTTTTATAGATTTTTTTTTAAGTCAAAAATTTAATAAAGTTAAAATAATTTAATAATTAATGAGATCAAATTTTTTTAAAAAATTATATAATAAAGTTTGAATTTTTCTATATTAGTAAAAAAAATTTGACATATTTTAATAAGACAGTTGTTAAAAAAAAAAATCTCAAAGTTTAACTTTTTAGCTTTAAAAAAAATTTATTCAAAAACTGTAACTTATATTAATTTTATTATATACAGTATGTTAAGAAAAAAATTGCAATTATATTTTTATTTATAACTTAATAAAAAATTGATAAATATTGATAAATATTGATAAATATATGATTAAATACTATATAAACAACTTTATTTAATACTATTTTAATTAATATAATAATATATTTTTTTAAAATAATTGAATTTTTATAATAAAAAATCTATAATAAA